AAGAGGAGGTGTCAGGAGTTGCTGTGTTTTGTTGGCTTGAGGTTCTGGAATGTGGGACCACCACTGTGAGGACAGATGAAAAACTCAGGACAGGAGAGCATGCACCACTGGAGGAGGGGGTTTCAAAAGAGGGGACTGTCAGCCCAGGCTCAGGATGACCTCGTGAGGGTGGGTGGTGTCACTGTGCCCATCTCACTGAGGGAAAGCAGTCACCCACCGGCAGGATCTGCGGGTCCCAGTGTCTGTTCTAAACTGAGCTGAGCAGCACCTTGCTAATGTCTAACGGTGTCGTAGTAAAAGACTGGGGCACCCACCCCTCCTTGCCTGGCACATTGCCCCAACATGACCATCCTAGGGTAGCAATGGACCACTAATCTGTCCCTCAGTCCCCCGGCAGCCGCCAACTGAACGTGCTGCCCACCCCACCCCACCACCGCCCACTAAGTACCACGTAGCCCCCCCTTCACCTGGCCATCAGCCTTGCCAATCGGCGAGTCCAGGAAAAAGTCAGAAGGGGCCAGCACGTCCACCAGGGCCACGGCATCGTCTTTCAACTGTTTGAAAACAAAGCCCACATGCTTAGCAACACTGGAAGTCACCATGGTGACCAGGAGAAACAGAGCCACAGCCCCACCGGTCAGCAGAGCAGCACACGGCCCAGGCCCTGAGGCGCTAGCTCCCTGCCCTGTGTTTCTCTCCATTGCTATTCCCACCACACACCCTCACACGAGGGCCTCACAGCTTCACGGATCAGTGGCCGCCTGTAGAGCCAACTCAGCCGGACAGCCGCTGGCTCAGCACAGGGCCATGCGTCCTGGACAGACGTCAGTGCAAAGGCATGCCTGAACACCTGGGAAAGTCATAAGGCTGGCAGCCGGGCCTTTATGGCTCCCGTATTGGTTATAAAACCAAACACCGTCCCTGCCGAGCCCGACTCCTTGCGTTCTGGTGAATCTGTAGGAAGCAGACAGCATCGGCTTTCTCCCACGGTGCAGCTGGCGGGTTCACCCACTGCACCACCCAAGGGAAACTCAGAGCAGCAGACACCCAAGAATTTTCTTGAAAGGATAAAAGAACTTTTAACTCAATAGAGTGATGTTTCACTGCTGGGCTGCACTGTCTGCCTCCACATGGGGCCCAGCACTGCTCTCGAGAACAGACGTCCACTCACCCTCTGCCCTCAGGGGCCACCACTGTCCATGGGGACGGTGGGCAGCACAGGGCCCCCAGTCCAGTCAGACCCAAGCTCAGCAGACATGCTCCCCAAAGGACCAGAGAATAGAGCACCCCAGCTCCCGGCTGCATGGTCCCCACGGAGCAGTCAGACAAGCTCGAGCCAGTGGCCGGGTGTGTCTGCTTGTCAGCAGCTGAGCTGCTCCCCTGAGCCGAGCTGGGCCTGCAGGTGGCCGGGTGCACCCACAGGGCATGGACTGGGCTAGAGCACCAGCTGGCCCATCAGGTACAGCATGGAGTCATCTGCCAGTCAGTGCCATACCGAGTATGCAGCCGAGCGGGCAGTAGGAGTGGGAGGCAGCTGTCATGTGTCGTGACACAGAGGACACGATCACCGTCACCAATGCCATGTGAGCCCAACTGCAGTGCGCACTCTGACTGTGCACGTGTGGGACGGTGTGTGTGCACAGTTAATTGTTATTGTGAAGTACCATCGAGTCGGTTCCAACGCATGGTGACCATGCAGATGTTTGCTGAGGGAAGGCTAGTGAATTTGAACCGCCGACCTTGCGGTTCAAACTGATCTTATGGACGAGTGCTTATCCCACAGCACCTCACCAGGACTCCACTGTTAAGTATACATACATGTAATTGAGTGTGTGCACAGTAAACACTGTTGTTAAGTGCATTCAAGTTGGTTCCAATTCACAGCAACCCCGTATATAGGGTTTCAGAGGAGCTGTGGCTGACTTTGAACCACTGACTTTGTAGTTCCAACCGACCTCCAGGTCAAGTGCTTATTCTAAGGTGCCACACCAAGATATGCACACAAGTAATTGTGTATAGGATGCAGCTAATCATGTGTGCTGTGTGCACGCATACATGTAACTATGCACAACCACACAAATGTGCACTCACATATGTACTGTAAGTATTGTGTTGTGGTTAAGTGCTGTCGAGTTAGTTCCTACTCATACTGAGCCAGTAGAGGGTTTCCGAGGAACAACTTGGTAGATTTGAACTGACAACCTTGCTGTTCAAACTGATGTTGCAGTCTAAGGCTTATCCTACAGACCATGTAATTATGTATGTATTGCAAATACATGTGTGTAACAATATGTGTACTATAAATACTGTGGGCTGTTGAATCGGTTCCGACTCAGAGTCACCTTGTGTAGAATCTTTACAGAGCAGACAGCCTCATCTTTCTTCCATGGAGCAACTGGCAGATTGGAACACACGCACACATGTATACTGATGGCACACACACAATCCCATGCATGTAGAGTTGTGGCACACACACAATTACATGTGTGTATACTTAGCATAGTGGATTATGAGCTTGGGGAGAGCAGTCCAGCTCGTAATCCACTATGCTAAGTATACACACATGTAATTGTGTGTGTGCCGCAACTCTACAAGCACGGGATTGTGTGTGTGTCATCAGTATGCATGTGTGCGTGTGTTCACCGTAAGCTTATACATGTAATTGTATTCACCGTAAACGATACATGTGTGTGATCACATGTGCAGTGTAAGAATGTTGTTGTTGTTAGATGTCACTGGGTGGGTACCGACTCATAGCAACCCTATGCACAGCAGAACAAAACACTGCCCAGTCCTGGGCCAACCTCACAATTGTTACTACACTTTAGCCCACTGCTGCTCCCACTGGGCCAATCCATCTCATTGAGAGTCTTCCTCTTTTTCTCCCACCCTCCACTTTACCAAGCATAATGTTCTTCTCCAGGGACTGGTCCAAAGTATGAGAGACCAAGTCTGGCCATCCTGGCCTCCAAGGAGCACTCTGGCTGCACTTCTTCCAACACGGATCTGTTTGCTCTTCTGGAAGCCAATGGCACTTTCAATATTCTCCTCCAATACCATGACTCAACTTAGTTTTCCTTATTCACTGTCCAACTTTCACATGCATACGAGGTTACTGAAAACACCATGGCTTGGGTCAGGTGCACCTTAGTCCTCAAACTATTTCAGCTCACTAATGCTTATAATACCGATGTGTGCATGTGTTTCATTTCATTTTTGGCAACTTCCAATTTTCCTAGATTCATACTTTGTACATCCGTGTTCTGATTATGAATGGATGTTTACAACTGCTTCTCATTTTGAGTTGTGCCCCATCAGGAAATGAAGGTCCTGAAAGCTTTACTCCATTTGCATCAGCACGGTCAACTCCACTCGGAGGAGGCCGCTCTTCAGTCGCATGCTGAGCGCCTTCCAGCCTGAGGGGCTCATTCTCCGGCACTGGGTCTGACAATATTCTGGTGCTGACAGTGTCCCCGTGCTACTCATAAGGTTTTCAGAGACAAGTAATCAGAAAGTGTCTTGCTTCCTAGTCTGTCTTCTTCTGGAAGCTCCACTGGTGACCCTGCTGGTATTCAAATCACAGCAACACACAAGCCACCCCAGTACAACACACTGACAGACAAGTGATGGAATGTAAGCATACATACATGTAATTCTGTGTGCACTGTCATAGCAACATAACCACGTGTGCTCTATAACATACACATGCGTGCGATGGTCACAATACCTGCACGGATGCAGTGTGCACAGCATAACAATACATATGTAATTGTGTGTGCATAGTGTCTACATGTGTGCAGGCTAAGTGTTCATACATGTAATTTGTGTGCACCACAACACACGTATGAAATTGTGTGTGTGCACTGTATATATATATTTTTTTAAGTGCTCTAGAATTGGTTCTGCAAAGTCAGCTGAAACCTCAAGGTTGGTGATTCAAGCTCACCAGACGCTCCTCGGAAACCCTATGCAGGGTTTGCTATGAATCAGAACCAACTTGAAGGCACTTAACACCCTTTACCATGCACACACACAATTACATGTATGTATACTTAACAGCGGAGTCCTGGCACTGTGGACTAATGCGCGGGACTGCAAAGTTGTCTGAAACACAAGGTCAGGGGTTCAAGCTCATCAGCCGCTCCATGGAAACCCTACACAAGGTCGCTGTGGGTCGGAACGGACTCAACGGCACAGCAGCTGGTCGGTTTGAACAAAATGACCAACGCTTATCCTACAACACCACACCAGGACTCCCAAGTACACATGTGTGTAATCACACGCATGCACTGTAAGTATCTATAAATGCAGCTGTGTGTGCGTGGTCTTAACAATGCATGTAGTCACATGTGCACTGCAAACATGCATGTATAGTTGCACGTGTGTAATGTGTGTGCTGTAACGCTACACGTTACAAGTGTGCACGCAGTCCACAACACGTGTGTGATGTGTGCACTGTACACATTTGTGGTTGCGATGTCGCCACACGTGGATGCTATAGCTACACATGCATGTGACTGTGTCATGCTTTCTACTTATACGAGACTGTGTGTAGTATGGCCACACATACCTGTAACCACGGTGACCACACATATATGTAACCACATGTGCACTGTGACCCTGCATCCATGTGTGCATGCACTGTCTGTCCACTTGTGTCTGTGTGTGGACCTGTGCTGATGAGGGCACGGATGGATGGACATGGGCCTCCGGTACAGCAGCCCGACCCACTGTGCCAGTGTGGAGGATGAGGAGCCAGGAAGTGGATATCACTGATCTTATGAGGCCATGTCCTGTCCTCCACAGCATGGCCCCAGCTCTCAGGCTCGCAGCGGCTCTACGGGACACAGCAGACACAACCCACGTGGCTCATGATGTGAAGAGCAGAAAATGGGAGAAAGTGGGCAATGCGGTCCCTCAGTCCCACCCGCCCTGCCTCCACCATGGACGGACACAATGGCCCATGGCTACTGTACTGGACACTGCAGATCTGGACAGTCCCATGGCTCTAGAAAGTCCTCGAGGAGACAGAGTACTATGGGCCACAGAAGAGCGCGCGTGGCTCCCGTGGTTCTGACACACTGACGGTGTGCAGCAGCCCCGTGGCGAGCAAGGCCCTCAGACTGGCTGCGTTTCCCCAGCAGCCTGTACTTGCTGCGTGTCCATGTCCCACGCTGGCCACTCTCAGGATGGTCCCAACGTTTTCAGCACACTCGTGCACAGCTTGCTCACACAGCCTAGCGTCAGCACCACTTCTGTGCACTGGGACCCCCGAACCCTTGTGCGGCTCGTTTGGCTACAGTGGCCTGGGGCTGGACCTGCGGACGCTCCCAGCTGTGCCTGAGCTAGGGCACTCATGGTCAGTGAGCACTCTGTCAAAGTGTCCGACCTGAGCCGCCTCGCTCATCATCGTTTTCCCCAGGCTGAATGCTAACAAGTGTGCTGAGGGTGCACGAGCAGAGCAGCCCAGGCCTCACTTACCTGGGAACACAGATCCAAGATGGTGGCCTTGACCATCTTCCCCGCCTGCTCCCCAGAGAAGTAGCCACCTGTAAGGGGTAAACAGTGCTGGTGACACAGGGTCTGGGCCAACTACTGCGCTGTGTGTCCCCTGCTGCTGCCCCGGCCCATGGGAACTCCCTGAAGGATGTGCTGGGTACAGACCAGGGTCAGAGGACAGAAGTACAGGACAGCCCTGGTCTGTCCCCGGGGGAAAGGTGGCCAGGAGGCAGACAGGGAACGTAGGTACCACCAGGCTCATCCAGGGCAGGGGGCATGTGGGGTGCTGGGGGTCTGCTGTCTCCTCCTGTCCCTCTCGTCCACAGCGGGCTCTCCTGGGGACACCGGGCAGTCTCCCTTACTGAGAATGTGTCTGTTGACGTTTGGCTGGGAAAACCATGCCCTAACCCAGAGGCCCTCAAACCTCACGCCTTCCTATTAGCTTGCGCTCACGTCAGCGGGGAACAGTGGTTCTCAAGGACAAAACTCTCATTTGTATACGGCACATACAGTGTACCTGCGTCACCTCCTCCAGGAAGCCCAGCCTCACACCCTTCCATGTGGTCATGAGGCTCTGGAGTGGGGGCTTTGCTCTGTATACAGCCTAGCACACGCGAGTGCTCTCTGGGCCAAACGGGACCAACAGGAGTGAGGCAGGCACACCTCAGCCTGTCCTGCTTTACTCTGTTCTTTGTCTCTCATGTCTACACTGACACGGAAGCTCCATGCTTGCTCATACCTCTCCAAGCAGGACCCAGTGCTCAGTAAACACTCTTGCAACGGGGCTCAGTCAACACCTGCCCGGCAGGGATCAGGGATCAGCACACACCCTCCCCTCAGAGGGCTCAGTAGACACTTCTCCCAGCAGTACTTAGAAACACCCTCTCAGAAGCCAGGGCTTAGTAAATAAACAGCCTTCCCCATCAGGGATCAGGG